CAGTACCTAACTGCATCTCCTTCAGTACCTAATAATGCAGTACCTAATAATGGTACTGCATCTCTACCTAATAATGCAGGAGATGCAGTACCTAATAGGGCCCATTGGTAACAGAGAAAAGGTATAAGCACGTTTTACCATCATACAAAACACCAAAAGGACGTGTGGAACGTGCGCGAGAAATGTGATGAAATCCATCTTTTAAATCAATCTTGATACCGGTATAAACCCCAAAACGATAACTCTAACGCATCCCCAATAGACGGCAAAGAGCACGGCCGGCACGGCAAGAGGGGCGTAAGCACTGACAAATCGTATACCAGTCTGGCCACAGTCGCACTTTTTGGCACAGTAGCAGGCCAACTAAACAGCGACTCGCTCGCGACCGGTGCCGACGGCGATGAAGATTCGTCGTCACCAGCGTCCTCCCCAGGCGCGCTGCCGACGGGGCACGCCGCCACCGGCCCGCCAGCATCACCGTCGACCGATGATGTCTTCAAAGAAGAGCCGTTCCCCTCAGTGGCGGCAGAAGAAGAGACCGCAGGCGGCGGGGACCCGGAGCAGGGCACAGAGACGTTGCCCCCCGCCGCGCCTCAAACGCCGACCTAAGCCGGACGTCTCGGCGAGCCGGGCCCGCGGCGCGCGGCGGAGCGCGCAGGCTGGACGGCCAGGCGGGGCGCGGGCGTCGCCAGCTCCGCCGTCGGGTGAGCTCCGGAAATGATGATGGAGAATGATGGAAGGATGATGTCATGGAGCCGCGGATGCTGCTCCATGGCAGAAATCACCTCTGCAGCTGCGCCGTGCGGATGTTGGTGGCGAACGCCCCCTGGGCTCTGAGTCAGCTGGCTGGTGGCTTGCGCGCTCTGTGGGAGAGCAGGACAAGGTGTAAAATGCTGCTACGGGACACGTAAGCAGATGTAATACCTCTGCTCGAGCTACCACATGCAGATAAGACTAAAGTCTGTTCCATTTCAAGCCTGCAGCCGAAGTACCATGCTGTAAACAACACATGCTTTATGTGTGCATAGCTCCTACATTAACCCTCGCCCTGGCAGGACATTTTTCATAACACGGCCTGGCAGGGGGGGGGGGGTGATGCGACCCCCCTCGCGATTGGCTCCTATGGCACCTAGAAACACCAAATTTGGTAGGTAGGTGGGCCCCCTGGAGTTCTCGCCCCTGCGCAAATTTGGTTGCTCTAGGTCAATATTTAGGGGGGTTTTGGGGGGTATAAATGTAAAAATTTTGCTGCAGTATGCTCGAGGCACGTCCATGGTCAAAATAATAGATAAAGCCCAATTTGAATAATTCTAGCAGAAAGACACCAGAATCACCCCTCAAGCAAAAAAGAAAAGTTTGTCATAAATAGGTTGCCAGTTCTCACCTGCTTCCACTCCACCGCCGTTTACCAGCTCGCAGCTGATGTCCATGCGGTGTTGACACCAGCGGCGCAGGTGACGTCGCCGACCTCTCCGGCACTGGCAGAGTCGATGCCACGGCCGTCGCTGGATGGTCCAGTGCCGCGGATGGTCCAGCTGGTGACGGCGTCACGGCCGTCGCTGGATGGTCCAGGGCCGCGGATGGTCCAGCTGGTGACGGCGTCAGGGGTTCCGCGGAACTCGCAGGTGACGTCGCCGTCGTCTCCGGCACTGGCAAAGTTGTTATACAATTAATATTAAGAGGTGCAGCATGACAGCTTTCAGCATGTCTGAAAAACGTGGCTGCCACGTTTTTCAGACTGAGTCAGGTCAACGGTCGCTGAATGGTGATTGACAAATACTAATTTTTTATAACTATTTATAATTATAAGCATTCATATTTAAATTATTTATTCCTAGTTTGGTCATAGCCCTGCTCACTTCAACTGTTTATTGGTCGATCAATATTTGGATTTGCGCCTAGTAGTTTCCCAGTCTGCAAAGCATTGCAATTTTGACAAAAGCTTGTCGGTGCAGGCTTGTTCAGCTGGTGCTGATCTGATGCGGCGTGGTGCGGATTTGGCTGGTAGGGTGCAGATCTAGTGTAGCCCAGTGTCCCAAGATTTGGGTGGAAAGTGAAATCCTTGTGAAATTGAATAGTCCACTCGGTCCACTCTCACCTTTAATTTTCCAGGACAAGTTGCCCTCCCAACTTTAACAACTAAGATCATCCGCATGTACATTTGCTGGCTGGCTTGTACCTACATTCAAATTCCATTAAATCATCGCAGCTCCCACATCCTGTAACATTCACATAGAAAATGGTGATCATGTTTTCATTCTTCTTTGTATCTTTCTGACTGGCAATTTTCCACTTTCAGTCCTCTTTGTAGTGAGGAATTTTACCCTCGAACACCCAAGCCAAAATATCCCTAATTTTGGGACACTGGTGTAGCACATTGCAGATTTGCTTGTTGATGGACATGACAGACCAGACAAGATATATGAGGAAAATTGAAAAACATTGCTGAAGCTGAAGCCATACTTTGCAGCCGTGCGCAGCCATGCTGCAAAGTATCGCTCGCATGTCGACGAAGGGCACTAGCCCAAGTTCACAATCCGCACCAACCCTTCAAAACCGGAAAATCCACCCCAATGTGGGCTGAGGGTAAAAGATCCGCACAGAACCCAAAAATGACCAGCAGTTGCACACTCATTGAAACCCAGGGGACACTGAATTACACATAAAAGCTCCAGCAATGTTTTTCGATTTGCCTCATCAATATCGTCTTGTCCGTCAAGTCCATCGCCAAGCCAAATCTGCACTGTGATCCACTAAATCCGCACACCAAGCGAAATCCGCACCACGCCGCAACAGCTGAACAAGCCCGCACCGACCAGATCTTGTCGAAATTGCCATACCTTGCAGACTGGCAGTTTCCAGCATGGGTAGTTTCCCCAAGTCAATTGTATAAATTTGAATTTTGGCATGCTCATCCTCAATTGCATGATTAGGTATTCACTATGCCAGCATTTGTATTTATAACTTCAAGTTCAAAAAAGAGATAATCGATCTTTTTCCAAAACTAAGTGCACACCCGTTACTTGTTACTTGAGAGATTCCGGCACCGTTGTATATCAACTTACCACGATGAAAACCATTAAATATTAGCGCACAGAGACCGTAGAAATGAGGATGAAACCACTTTCAGCATCGCCTATGAATTAGCAATACATTTGACACGTGCCCCGAAAAAGTCTTCAATTTTATCGCGTCGTGTTTGAAACAGAGGTGGAAACATGCAGAACATGGTAGCAAACCAAAAATCCTTTACCACTTACCTTTGTCATAGGGTCTGCTCCCTTCACTAGTGTTGAAGAGATCGGACCTCAGGTCTTCCCTTTACCACTTCCCTTCAAGTAAAAAAAGCATTGTCTTCTACCACAAATTTGCTAATTAACAATTTATCGCCTTTGAATTGAATATGTGTGAATAAGAAAAGATAAATAAAACCCTTTTGACGAGTTTTTCCTTAAAATTTGTATAAAATGCTCTTAATTAAAATCGACAAAGTTTTTCCTTTCCCTGAAATCCTTCACAATGCTAAGAGATCGGCCTTTCTTCATGCTAGTATACTAGGAAACCTTCAACATTAATTTGCTAAATGTACGTCTTTGCTGTTGAAATTAATATTGGTATTACGAAATTTGTCACAACATTCAAGAAAAATAACAATGAATCTCTATGATGCCAAAATGTAATGAAAAGTGTCATACATGCTATCGTAGTGATGAGCATTTTCACCGGCGAAAAAGATGGCATCAAATGGAACTTTGGGAGGCGATTGCGCGTTACAGGGTGAGGATAACGGAAAATGGACCGGACATCTGTGGTGAGGGCGGGCACCTCTTACGAAAACCGGTAAGTGAAAAAAAGGTGACAGTCTACCTTTAAAATGTGCTTCATCAGTCACTGACTCATTCGACAATCAACATATGTCTACCTTGGTTGACCAAAAAACACCATCGAATGTTACTTAACACATGAACGTACTGTTAGGTGAGCCTATCCAAGTACTTGATGTGGTAGGGTAACCGGCCAATTGATACGGCATGCAGCGATCGAGGAAAATCGGCATAAAATCAAAACCGATTAACATTTTTCTGTTATTTCTTCGCATGGAGATGTACAATGGAACAAACAATCATGCAGACCATTCACTCAAATGTTTTGGGAAACCTTTTGCCTTGTTTGATTCATTACAGTGTGCTTCATAAGGTAGCGAGACTGTCTCAAATAGCCCCACCGACTTTCGGTATATCTGTTTTCACGTCACCGGGGCTATATACAAAAACTTACTTTCAAAATTTTACTGTCGATGACTTTAAAATAGTCCTTGATGATCATCCTGTCAGTTTGACAGCTATGGGTCACATCATATTATGATAGCCTTAGCATATAGTGATGCAATTTTATACCCTACCGAAATGAAGTGTCCTATGAAAAAGGAAAAGATTGAATATAAAGGTCATATAACAGTCATTGAAAAAACAATTTTTGCCAAAATGATCAAAATTCAATTTCCAAATGCATGGCGCTTAAAAAACTATCTCTAGCGTGACCGATTTTCTTTAATTTCCTTGCAACTAAAACTGTCTCAAATAGCCCCACCCTATGGGGCTATTTGAGACAGGCTTTAACATAAAAAATAACCTCAGTCATTATTACTAGCTGAACCAAAATACACCTATATGAAAGAGCTCACAGATAACTACATTTTTGCAATTTACATGCTATAAGAAATATGAGTCGTCTTAAAGGGAGAGGCAAAAAACTGTAAAATCCGTTTCAAATAGCCCCACTTTACGGTACGCAGTTTACAATGGCAATTGGAACCGTACCAAGACGTTTTTTTTCTACAACTGCGCGCTTGCGACATATAGCGATGGATCGTGCTCACCGAAAATAATAGGTATTTTCTCTAATACATTTACCGTGACAGCGACCTTCCGGCTACATCGCACACTACATCAGCTCGGTTTGGCTATGTTGCCGTTTCTGAGGTGGCCGGCCGTTTTCAGAGCGCAGCCTGGGGATGTCGCTCGTACGTCGCCGACACAAACTCGACGTCTGTGCGCATCCTGGACAGAAACCGCACAGTGCCATGCCGCCGGTGGACGTACAACACCTCCGAGTACGACAACAATGTCGTCATTGAGGTAAGACTCCGTGTAAGACACAAAGGAGGGCGGCTAATCAGCACATGCTGAACTCGCCCGCTTACGATATTTATGGGGCCCATAGCACCACGCAGCACGCTGACGCGCCTCTCAGCGGCCTTTTCCTTCATTCAGATGTCGGTTGCGGGGTCGTAGGGTGTGCAATGTGCATGGATGATGGAGAAAATAAATGCAGACAAGGAAAATGTGCCAATGCAATGTAGACAGCTGACAGCTGGAACAGGACGTTGCCCAAGCGCATCAAACACCACAAGCGACGTTTTGCGGTGTTTTAGGCATCTAAAACACCACAGCGTGTGGTATTTTAGATGCCACACGCTGACCGCCAGGTGTGAGGTCTGACCCCGACTAATGGTGTTCGCCTGTGACCCCCGGTGGGTCCTGGTCTGACCCCCGGTGGGTCCTGGTCTGACCGCCAGTGGGACTTGGTGTGCGATCGCCGCTGGCTGCAGATGTTCGCTCAGGCCATCTACATGGTCGGCATCGGCTGCGGCGTCCTCTTCTGGGGCGTGTTCGCCGACAGGTGAGTGGTCCCGCTCCGGTGACCGCGACCTCGACCCGGTGACCGGCGAGCCCTCTTGATGGCCGGCCGCCCTCCTCGCCGCGTGCAGTGACCGGCGACCCTCCCCGCCGCGTGCAGTGGCCGGTGGCGCTCGCCCGCCGCGTGCAGTGACCGGTGGCCCTCCCCGCCGCGTGCAGTGACCGGCGGCCCTCCCCGCCGCGTGCAGTGACCGGCGGCGCTCCCCGCCCCAGGTACGGCCGTCGGCCGACGCTGCTGCTCTGTGTGATGCTGGCCTGTCTCTCCGGGAACGGCTGCGCTGCCGTCAACAGCGTGCAGCTGTTCCTCGTCTTCCGCTTCATGATCGCCTTCTGCGGCATAGGCGCCTACTGCGCCTGCTTCGTCACTTGTGAGTGGCAGCGCGCCGCCGCCGGACGCTGGCGCTGGCAGGGGACACTGGCGCTGCCAGGGGACACTGGCGCTGCAGCAGGGGACACTGGCGCTGCAGCAGGGGACACTGGCGCTGCCAGGGGACACTGGCGCTGCAGCAGGGGACACTGGCGCTGGCAGGGGACACTGGCGCTGCAGCAGGGGACACTGGCGCTGCAGCAGGGGACACTGGCGCTGGCAGGGGACACTGGCGCTGCAGCAGGGGACACTGGCGCTGGCAGGGGACACTGGCGCTGCCAGGGGACACTGGCGCTGGCAGGGGACACCGGTGCACCCGTGGGCAGCTGGAAACGATCAGGCATTGTCTTGAGATAATCTTGTTTTCATGGATGCTTACTATATCTTTACTTCTTAGACCTAGGGTGCTATTGAACATCTGTGTTTAATAACACGGCAATCCGTCCCGAAGTGACCGGTGCCACGTGGCGTGCGCTCTCACAGGTATGGAGATGCTCGGGGACTGGTGGCGCGTCGTGGTCGGTATCGCCTTCTGCATGCCCATGTCGCTGGGCTACATGACACTGGCGGTGCTGGCCTACTTTGTGCGCCACTGGAGGGCGCTCCAGGTCGCCGTGTCGCTGCCCGGCATTCTCTACATGGCCTATTACTGGTGAGAACCGCTGCTTACCTACTACCCGTAAGAACCGCCGCTCACAGGGCCTAGTATTGGTCTGTACCTATCGCCGGCACCTAGGTAAAGCGTATCGCCCCAATGGGTGTCCAGTGTCCACCAACACGTTTCAGTGCAATCTGCCCATTCGATGTGGGTGTTATTGCAAACGAAACGATGCTGGCACCCCTGGCTAGTGGCATGTGGCGCGTGCCGTGGCAGTCTGCATCACAAGTGGTCGAATTGATGATTGAAGGGATGGGCTATTCGCTAGGTACTGTTCGTCTCTATACAGCAGACCCTTTGTCGGTCGGTCAAGCGGTGGCCGAGATATATAAAGGCTACAACGGTATGTGGTCAGATCACGCGTACCACGTGACGGGCGGACACTCGTAGCGGGCACTCAGTCCATGCAGGTTCGCGTGACGGTGAACCCATGGTCCAGACGATACTCACGAGCGCCCGATACGCGGCGTTCCAGGGTTGTTCCCGAGTCGCCGCGGTGGCTACTGTCGCGCGGCAGAGCGAACGAGGCCGTCACCATCATGAAGAGGGCCCGCCTGTATAACAAAATGCCAGTCCTGGATAACCTGCTCACTACTCAGGTCAGTCAAACCAAGGCCGTACATAGGAGGTAGAATGGTTAGCCGTTTGTTTACATCGGTGACCTTGAATGATGACGTTAGCGGTGTCTACCAATCTTCGCCAATATTTATCTTGAGTATTTTATCCTCTAAGGCAGTTCGATATTAACCTTTGGGCTTCCTTAGAGCCTAAAAAGATTATTTACTGCACAGCAATGTCTTAAAATTGAAAAAAAAATTGACAAAACCTTTACACCCTGTGGCGTTATCTGTCTCCTGAGCCCTCCCTATGTGGCAGCATAGAACCGTAAGCGCCTGAGTCAAACCACGCATGGTGACTGGGCTGAAATGCATGAGAAGATGACAGGGTTTGAATTATTGAAGCCGTACCTAAGCATGCTATGAAACATTGCAGCTGGTCGCTGGCCTGCGCTCCCAGCTCGCAGAGTCCGCCGTGTCGCGGTGGTGTGACCGTGTCTCCCAGCTCGCAGAGCCCGCCGTGGCGCGGTGGTGTGACCGTGTCTCCGCGGCCTGCTCACAGAGCTGTGAATCCGCCGTGTCGCGGTGGTGTGACCCGGACCGTGTCCCTGCCCCGCGCTCGGCAGGGCCGCGCCGAGCCGGGCGAGGCGACTCCCGCCGGCTGCCGGCCGCTGGCCGCCGACGGACGCATGCTGGCGCTGGTCGGCTGCCTCTTCGTCTGCTGGCTCGTCAACAGCATGGTGTTCTACGGCATCCTGCTCAACACGGGCGACTTCGGAGACAACATCTACATGAACGCCTTCCTTGGAGGTATGCTCATACCACAGCCCGAACAATCGGTTTGCTGAATTTAGGGAGATTAATGGTTTGAGATCCGATCTATTTATTTAGTTGAAGTAAATGGTTTAACTCTGGGTTATAATATAATTTGCATCCGAACATACCAAATCACCCTTTTCACCTTCTTTGGTTGAGATGCCTATGATCCGCTGGAAAATCCACGATCACAATCACTCTGCCCTCCTCCAGTGGCTGTCGAGCGGCCAGTATGTGTGCACGGTAGCCAGTGCCGCTCAGTGTGTCGCCGCCCGTCTATTCTGCCTCGCTCAGGAGCGGTGGAGGTTCCGGCGTACGCCGCCTGCATCTACGCCATCCTGCGCCTGGGCCGGCGGCGACCGATCGCGCTGGCCATGACCGTCGCCGGCCTCAGCTGCCTGCTGACGCTCGCCTTCGACCCAGGTGAGTCGCGCGCTGCCGGCACTGCAGTGCTCACAGCACCTGCCGGAGACACTCGGCGGCGTCAGACGGCGCCGCGGACTGGCGGTGGCACTGAAACGGAACATACAAACAGTGATACCCGCCCCTCGGTTCGCTCAATGTACAGCCGTCATCGTGTTGTACCCCACGCTGAGACCGCACGGCCGACTGTGTGACGCGCGTCTGCTCCGACCGGCAGCGGCGTGGCGGCGCGGCTGGCCGGTGGTCTGTCTGGGCCTGCTCGGCCGGCAGTGTGACGCTCCTCTGACGCTCTCTGCTCCGGCAGCGGCGTGGCAGCGCGGCTGGCCGGTAGTGTGTCTGGGCCTGCTCGGCCGGCAGTGTGACGCTCCTGTGCTCCGGCAGCGGCGTGGCGGCGCGGCTGGCCGGTGGTCTGTCTGGGCCTGCTCGGCCGGTTCGGCATCACGGCCTCGTTCGGAGCCATCTACGTGTACTCGGCCGAGCTGTTCCCCACGGCGCTGCGCAACACGGGCCTGGCCGTCTGCTCAGTCGGCTCGCGCTTCGGAGGCATCCTGGCGCCAATGCTGCAGCTGCTGGTGAGGGGGCCGTGGGGGGAATGTGGGGTAAGGCGGACCAGCTAAGGTTTGAATGGCCGGGTGCAACTGTACCCCATGTGCCCCTGTCTGTACCCTTTGTGCCCCGTGTGACTATATCCCACTCTGGCCCCGGTGTAACTGTATTGCGTCCCGATGTAACTGTACCCCACTCTGGCCCGCGGTGTAACTGTACTGCGTCCCGATGTAACTGTACCCCACTCTGATCCCGGTGTAACTGTACTGCGCCCCGATGTAACTGTACCGCACTCTGGCCCCGATGTAACTGTACCCCACTCTGGCCCCGGTGTAACTGTACCCCACTCTGGCCCCGGTGTAACTGTTCCCCACTCCGGCCCCGGTGTAACTGTACCCCACTCTGGCCCCGGTGTAACTGTACCCCACTCTGGCCCCGGTGTAACTGTTCCCCACTCCGGCCCCGGTGTAACTGTACCCCACTCTGGCCCCGGTGTAACTGTTCCCCACTCCGGCCCCGGTGTAACTGTACCCCACTCTGGCCCCGGTGTAACTGTACCCCACTCTGGCCCCGGTGTAACTGTACCCCACTCTGGCCCCGGTGTAACTGTACCCCACTTTGGCCCCGGTGTAACTGTTCCCCACTCCGGCCCCGGTGTAACTGTACCCCACTCCGGCCCCGGTGTAACTGTACCCCACTCTGGCCCCGGTGTAACTGTACCTCACTCTGGCCCCGGTGTAACTGTACCCCACTCTGGCCCCGGTGTAACTGTACCCCACTCTGGCCCCGGTGTAACTGTTCCCCACTCCGGCCCCGGTGTAACTGTACCCCGCTCTGGCCCCGATGTAACTGTACCCCACTCTGGCCCCGGTGTAACTGTACCCCACTCTGGCCCCGGTGTAACTGTACCCCACTCTGGCCCCGGTGTAACTGTACCCCACTCTGGCCCCGGTGTAACTGTACCCCACTCTGGCCCCGGTGTAGCTGTACCCCACTCCGGCCCCGGTGTAACTGTACCCCACTCTGGCCCCGGTGTAACTGTACCCCACTCTGGCCCCGGTGTAACTGTACCCCACTCTGGCCCCGGTGTAACTGTACCCCACTCTGGCCCCGGTGTAGCTGTTCCCCACTCCGGCCCCGGTGTAACTGTACCCCACTCTGGCCCTGGTGTAACTGTACCCCACTCTGGCCCCGGTGTGACTGTACCCCACTCTGACCCCGATGTAACTGTACTGCGTCCCGATGTATGTAACTGTACCCCACTCTGGCCCCGGTGTAACTGTACCCCACTCCGGCCCCGGTGTAACTGTACCCCACTCTGGCCCCGGTGTAACTGTACCCCACTCTGGCCCCGGTGTGACCGCGCAGAGGGACGACGTGCACCCGTCTCTGCCGGTGGTGGTGTACGGCCTGTCGGCGGTCGGCTCCGGCCTCTCTGTCCTGCTGCTGCCCGAGACGGCCGGCCGGCCGCTGCCGGAGACCGTGGCGGACGTGTTCGGCGACACACGCAGGTCAGTGGTCGGACACCGCTGTCAGAGACTGGCCGGCGACCGCTGTCAGAGACTGGGACTGCTGTCAGAGACTGTCAGGGTAGGGTCTGTCAGAGACTGTGAGAAACTCTGCCAGAGACTGGGACTGCTGTCAGATACTGGAACTGCTGCCAGAGACTAACAGACTGGGGCTGGTGTCAGACTGCCAGAGACTGTCAGACTGGGACTGGTATCAGACTCTCAGAGACTTGAGGCTGCTGCCAGAGATTGCGCAGCACTCTCTGGCTTCCGACTTGTTTCGAGTGTGCTTAAATTCTAACTTTGGTGATTCCTCACTTCTTGTATTTCACCAAGAGCCGTTCAAATAATCAGATATTAATGGTGCGCTATCCATACATATTTTGTATTGCGAATGCGATCCTATACATTCCTCGTATGTTATGCGCCCTTCACATGTTTGGCTTTCTGATGGGATGAGCCCAGGTACTTTGTTATTGTCCAAAAACGCTACCAAGTCCGTCTGACTTGGCCGTTCGGCCCGATGATGCTCTCGGTGGTTATCAGCACAGTGCGGCAGCCTGCAGGGTAGCGGCATCGCCGCTAATTAGGTGGCCGTCACTATTTGGCTCAATAACTGTCCTTTGTGCCGACATTTCCTTCAACCTGCTGAACAAATATTGTATAACATGTTCATTTCCCCCTCTACGTTAGCACCTGTCACCTGATGCAGTGATGCCAGCTTGTCCCCACTGTATCTCTGACGATATCTACTATTCTTCTCTAGGCTGTTACGTCACATAATTTTCTACGCGCCAGATCCGTGTTGTCACAGAGCGTATTTCGCCAGGTCTGAGACTCACGACACAACAGCTGAGCAGCAGCCCCTAGACGGCCCAGGCACAGGTCATCCGGAGCGGGCGCCGGCGTGAGGACGTCAGCCGGTACAGGTCACTGTACCGGCCCACCCGGTCACCTGGGGCCGGCCGGTACAGGCCACCCTGAACGGACACCGGCCGGTACAGGCGACTGTACCGCCTGGTGCCGACCGGTTCAGGTGACTATACCACCCGGTCTCCTGGTGCCGGCCGGTACAGACGACTGCACCGCCTGGGGCCGACCGGTACAGACGACTGTACCGCCTGGGGCCGACCGGTACAGACGACTGTGCCGCCTGATGCCGGCCGGTACGGGTCGTACCACTCGGTTTCCTGGTACCGGCCGGTACAGGTGACTGTACCGCCCGGTCACCCGGGGCCGGCCGGTACGGGTCACCTGAACAGACAGTGGCCGGACATTCATGCCAAACAGGAATGAAGGTGTGTTTTTGTAACCGATTGTGACCGATGGCGGGGAAGCGGCAGCCGTCTGTTCAGGGAACGTCCAGCTCAACACACTGTACATAGACGCCGTGACGTATGCCTGCAATATAAGCAATGCAACCTGGTTACTCAGGCGAGCTTAATTAGGTTTGTTGATTATCAAAGTAGATCTGTTAAACATGTCGTATAGGCTATGTTGAATATTCAAGAAATATGCTACCTACGATAAGCAAATGTTTTATTGTGTGTGACAAAAAAAAATATATGGGTATGTACCTCCTTTGTGCTAATGATATTTCTTGAAAACTTTTTATCCGTGATTGATTTCAGAATGCATTTGCATGCATACCGTTCGGTGGAAAAGCGCAAACATGTAAAGTGACCGAATGCGAATAAACAATATGTGTGGTGGTATGCACACTTTTACCAGTATGACGCCTTTTTGGGACGATAAACGACCGAGTGCGAGTGTGAGTCCTGTACATCACGTGCAAACGGGGTTCCAACTGACTTTTGTCCGGCACCCCACACACCGATCCCTAACCGAGTGCCAAGTTTGAGCGCAATCGGTCCAGCTGTTCTCGAGACCTGGAAACGATACCTGCACGCATGCACGTGCAGTATAGCACCCCAACCGTGACATTTGGATATACGTTGCTCGGTTGGTGTCTTCCCACATGCCAAGATTCAGCGCAATCGCCCCAGTAATTGCTGGGATAACATGTACTAAGAATAAACTTGACACCTCTAATTTTTGCATTCTGCACTTGCAGTGGGGTTTACCTACACATGGTTTACAAGTTTTATCAGTGCTTGTGCAAGGATATACATTCTTGGACGATACCGCGAAAACGAAATATTTCTATCGAGAGTTTTCAAAGGATTTCATGCACGAGGCCTTGGCCGAGTGCATGAAATTCTTTGAAAACTCGAGATAGAAATATTTCGTCGCGGTAGAGTCCTAGATATTATTTCCTGTATGTTTCTTAATATCGTTCGTTATTTGCTTAAAAAGGTCGAAATATGCATAAATAAAATACAGTAACATTAACTACACGTTAAATACTGAAATACTGGCAGTTCTAATTGCTCAACAGTTCAGCAAAGCTTACAAATTTTCTTTAAAACAGAAGCCCTCGATGAAATCAAGCTATCCAAGAAAACCATCCAAGAAAACGTCTCGCGCAAAGTTTCTTGGATGGCTGGATTGCATTGCAAGACTGCATCAAACATACAGGAATCCTGTTTAAAGCGTTCTACAGTGTAATGACCTTGTACTCACAGGTAAAAAAGTTACAGGAAAACACATGTTTATTTCACCCGCGCACCGACGGGGGTTGCGCCAACTTTGCACCGACGGGAGAGGGTGGGGTGGGAGTTCCAAGTACCAATTTCAACCAAAAAGACAAAACAATAGATGCAGAACTTGACCCAGTATCTCAAACACGCACGGTTAATCAGGCGTAAAATATCGGCCTTGACAGTAGGGAAGCCTGGGGCAAGACGCCCCAGATAATTTATTTTGCCACATAACTTTTGTCCCACATCACCTGGAAGGCCAAATTTGTGCTCAATGCGTTCTTTGGACATTTTACTTTAAATTCCACCCCTCAAATTCATTCACTTATGATCGGACTCCAAGCTAGGAAGTGATTTGTGAAGCAACTGCAAATGGGGCATTTTGCCCCAACCCCAGGGCAAAACGCCCCACGGCCTGGGGCAAGTAGCCCCATACTCTAGATTAAAGATTAAACATGGTAGTTGGCTAAATCCTGTATGAGAGTTCCGTTAGACTGAAGTTAGCACATTCCATCAGGTGTTCAGCTAATAGCTATGACACTATTGTATGAGCAGGTTTTTCACCTGCCTCATAAGCCCAAATAATAAATTATTGCAATGCAAATGTTAACAAAATACTTCCTTTGCCTTCCAGTTGCTGAGTAAAATACGTATAAAGGCATAGAAACTTACTGTTAGCCAGCTACCGAACATTAGGAAGTGGGTAGTCCGAACAACACATGAGGTAAAACGCCCCGTGGGGCTTTTTGCCCCGCGACCTACTGGGGCGTTTTACCCCATCGCGTAATTCGGTCAGAGAACAACGCCTGCGCTCCAGCAAGACATAATTTAACACGAAACAACCCGGCATTATAAGCGTTAGATAATAGTTGTTCAGAATACATAAAAGTCGTTAACCTGATGTGGAACATAAAAGAACGCCATGATGCATAATCAGACAACAAAACATAAAAATCACCTGAAAAACACATTTTTGGCTATACCTCCCTAAAGAGTTATGTCAGTTATCACAATTTCTTTCCAGTCTGTTTACGGAGCGAGCGAAGCGAGCGGAGTCTTTCCTTAGATTAACGGAAATTGCTGAGTATGAGCGGCCGGCCGGCCGGCCGGCCGGCCGGCCGTGGGGACGCTCTTCAAAAGCTAATATCTTAGGAACGGGACATCCGATTGACAAGCGGTCTTCTTTACTGAATGTCACTTGGACGTAAAAGTTCTGTGGTGTGATGGCCACCATGCGTTCTTGCCAACCACCGCACGTGGCGCGTGGTAAAGTTGGACATTTTTTAAGAACCCCCAAAATTGCAACCTCAATAACGGCACAACGGTTGGGCCGATTGAATTGAAACTCGGTACACAGTTAGGTCTCCATCAGATAATTCATCTGCATGTGTTAAGGTTGGGGTGCTACTGCACGTGCGCACGTGCAGGGGTCGTTTCCAGATCTCGAGAACGGCTGAACCGATGGCGCTCAAATTTGGTACAAGGTTAGGGACCAGTTAGTAGGGTGCCGTGCACAAGTCAGTTGGGACCCATTTTGCACGTGCGCACGTGCAGGGTGCCGCTTCCAGATCTCGAGAACGGCTGGGCCGATTGTGCTCAAATTTGGCACATCGCTAGAGACCGGTTACTAGGGTGCCGTGCACAAGTCAGTTGGAGGTACCCCCTCGAAATTTCGCACGTGCAAGGCCCACCCTCTCGCTCGCTCCGTTAGTCGCCCCATAAGGCGTTATACTGGTCATATAATGATCATATAGTGCACATTTTATAGAAGAGAGGATGTTTCCCCAGAACCTTGCCAGTTCCGAGAAACATCGGTGAGGCGTTTTACCTCGGCGGGGCGACTTGCCCCGGTCTACCCTACAAATGACAAATGACACACACGATACCAAATGACGATACAAATGACACGATACCAAATGATCGTGAATTTTGAATCGTGTCATTTTGTTGGTTTGACGAAGGCTTGCAGCCGAAAGCTCACCGCATTAAATATAACTTTTGGCATTGTTTTTACTTCTTCGACGAAAATGTCAGTGATTCTTCACATATTTAGGGGAGAGTGGGGCAATGGCGACACCCTAAGCATTTTGCTCAATAGCTTAGCTATTTGAAGATATTTTATGGTGATTTTGACTGTGGTTATAGCCAAAGGAATAGGCTTTCAGATAACACCCAGTTTTTGTATCTCAGATCACTGATGACAGATTCAGAGCCTACGCGAAAATGTGGTGAAAATGGAGGTGCAAAAAAAGCGAGGAGTAATGCCGGCGACTAAGTGCAATAGCACAAAAAAGTCGAAATATCGCCACTGGTATTCATCCTTAAACCGTTCTTTCGATGGAGATTTAAGTGAGAATTAAGAAACGACAACTGTATTCAGCAGTTAAAGGGACTATCCCACCTTCTAAAATGTTGTTAAAACCAGTTAAATTGTGCCCGACTTTATAGATTGGATGACCAGGAACACGGTTCTGGCATTTAATTTTCATTAAACATCTTAGGCTTCCCATATTCCAAACACAAACTTTCAAATATGTGACGTCACAGCCCAAAATTACCTCCTTCCCCAGGCCACATTACTGTCATAAAGCTGTTTCTTTTTACTCTGTAGGCACCACAACAAAGTTCAGACCAAGTTTTAAGCGATTTTTCAACGAACAAACCCATTTAAATCAGAATAACTAAACGAGGTGACGTCACACTAACGGTCGCTCCATGTTGAAGATAGGGCCTTGTACAAGGCCCATTTTCAAATGAAGGGAACGAATTTCTTCAACACCAGTAGGCCGCGGGGGTTGCAACCTAGATAGATAGTGGTTTCTGAACCTCGCCGCAAACTTGGCTATCTCAACTCAAACCCCATGTTAAAGGTGGGATTGTCCCTTTAACAGTGCACTCACACTGCACTGCAACACAACACTGCACTCGCTGCAACACAACAGCGCGGCGCCAACAGAGCAGCAAACTAACACAACAGGAAACAGCAAGCAAACTAACACAGCCGTAAACACAGCAACCCGAAACGTTGAGCTTTAACGACAGAAGTCGCAAACAAAACCGCGTAGAGTCATTCCGGACACGTGTCCGGTATTACCCCGAGGTCAGCTTTATTTTAAGAAAGCAATGTCAAAGGCATTGCGTCGCAAATGGCAGTCGCCTAAGAAAGGCTTAATTGAAGGTCCTTGCAAAGCAGCACTTCTGAAGACTGAAAATGCGTGAACACATTTCACAGTCAGCAAAAAGATGCAACAAAAATTAAAAATCAGATACGAAAAACACATTTAACGCTATAAAAATGAAAATAATGGAGCTACCGTGACAAACTTGCACCACGTGCTAGAATGGCGCTCAACTGAAATGTAAACAACATCAGCTGATTAGTGATGGACAAAGTAGGTACTCACTAGAGATGGGTGCCCGGCATTACCCACCGTCCGCCATTGCCCCGCTCTCCCCTATTCTCGCTATCTTCCTCGGTAAAGCACTTCACACCAGAAATTTACAAAGGTGTAAAATTAGTAATGTCCCGTAGCTCAGTTGGTAGAGCATCGGACTCCCGGTAGTGAGAGCCCGGGTTCGAGACGCTCCGGCGCTCGATATTTGAAGTGCTGCAAAACTGCTATCTCGGATTTTTGTAAATTTTGGATTTTTACCCCTTAAGTTGAAAAATGAATTTTTAGATCTACCACCCCTAAAACACCACAAATTTTCAAAAGGTAAAAAATGGAATTTTATATTAAAGAACTATTGGTTTGCTGTTGAAATGCCAAATTTGAGCTCGATAGCTCTATTTTTGGAAAAGTTAGGACGAAAAACTACTCAATTTATTACGTAAAATTTTCAAACTCAACTTTTAGACCTTATATGTATAACGCAGAGTTAAATGAAGACCACCATTGGATTCTTCGTGATGAGCTGCATCGAATAGGTACCCTTTTTATGCAAAAATGTCAACTTGGAAATTTGATTTTTTACCTGACCTTGACCTGACATCCACCAGAGTCCAGAACGGAACCTTAACTGGCCCCGATGGTCGTCTAACCTACACCATTGAATGTGAAATGTAAAATTGGCCATAAAACATGTATCACACGACTCTGGTATACCTGGGTCCATATTGTGACCCCTAGTGACCTGACCTCTGTGACCTGACCTGGCATCAGTGCAACCTCCTAAGCAACATATACATATATTAGGCGACCAACGTTGCATCGATTATTTTTACAAAATGCCTTTTATTCGATGTTATAACGCACTCCTTAAAGGGGCCGTAATCGTTGAAAATGCAACATTTGACCTGACCTGTGACGTCATCAGTTTCACCTAGGTCAACGAAACTACGCCACCAGGTAGTTCCCTGGTGGCGCTATCGAAGGCCGTTTGAATTTTTATAATCGGTCTGTAACTTACCGAGGTCTTAGGTGGGAAGGGGGAATTTTACGGCGAAAAGGCCTCCCCCTAAGATCTCATAAAGTTACAGACTGATTTTAAAAATTCAAACGGCGTTCGATAGCGCCACCAGCGAGCAACCTTCCTTGTGACCAAGTTTCGCTGCCCTGGGTGCAACCGATGAGGTTGCAGGTCGGGTCAAAGGTCGCATTTTTCATAGATTACGGGCCTGGTAAGGAATGTGTTATACTCGTAACATCGAATAAAAGGCATGTTATCGAAAATTATCGATGCAGTATTGGTCGCCTAATGCATATGTTGCTTAGGAGGTCACTGATGCCAGGTCAGGTCACAAAGGGTCATAATAGCCGTTTTCACGACGGCCATCTGGTACACATTGCTGCACATCTGGTAGGTACAGATTAGGTGCATATTTGGTCAAATCAGGTTCAGTGTGTCTCTTAGCAGCTATCAGCTAGGGTTGCACTAATTGCTTATATGCCTGCTTTGTCATATTATCAGAGAGCATCATCTCGATTAAAACACTGAAATAAGTTCATAAAATGAAGATATTTGCTGTAAAAGAGTTTAGGTGCAGATTTGGTCAAATCAGGTGCATTCGCCGGATAGCCCGTCGTGAAAACGGCTAATATGGACCAAACGATACTAGGACTGTGTTTTGAGGCCCATTTTCTATTTCAAATTGAATGGTGTGGGTTAGCTGACGCATTACGGCCGGTTTAGGTTACGTTCTGGTGGAGGTCAGGTCAAGTCAGATCAAAAAAGGTCAAATTTCAAAGTTGATATTTTTACATAAAAAGGGTAGGGGAGAGTGGGGTAGATGCCCTGGGTGGGAAAGACGTTTCCCCTCTAACGCGGAAATAAAGAAGCAAACCTGGAAATTAATGCTCTTAGCGTAATTAATGCTCTTCCTTGTTAACTGCACAAAAAGTTGCCAAGCTTAGTTTGGCAACGGTGGGCTGGTGGCTGCTTGTTTTATATGTGCTGCTTTCAAAAAATATTTTTGTGTCAAAACATTGTGAATATTAGATAAAATATATAATTTTTAAGTCCCTTGCTATGGTCGTGATACATTCATATCCGTGTACTTTGTCCCAACTAGTTTGTTTCGGGTGTAGTTTTAGTGCTAACAAATTGATTAGATGTTAATTCGGTACCTTGGGGAAAGATGCCTACTGACCTGATGGGGAAAGACTTAATCCGTAGGCTGCCCTTCAAGGAACCCGTCGAATCATTTAGCACATGGTACTTGTGAAGAGAGACAAAAGCCGAATTGTGACTATTGAGAGTCCAATACGGTCAGGTGCTCGCCATGTCGGTCTCTTGGCCCATACGCCGACTTTTTGGGCGGCATCTGACTCTGAGAGCCCTCACGACGGCCTATGTTGGCCCCATTATTGGCTTCGAGCCAGGGTAAGTATACATCAACCCCCGGTGGCCTGGCGAGGGTTAAATAATTTGAAGCATATTTACCTACTTGGACATTCTTGTGTCACCATGAATGCATTGATCTTTAAGCGAGCTAAACGCAGGACAGTTGGTACCTACGACTTAAGGCCGCCCCACACTGGACCTCGCATGCGGGTTGCGGGTTTTTGGGTTTTCGGGTTTCTTCAAAATCAAATAATACAATCTAAGCTGAGTGACCCACACTAGGGGAAGTTGGGGGAACGCCGAATACTTTTTTCTGACGCCCGTAGCACGCAAGGTAGACAACATAAGCTATTCATGTTGGCGTCATTCGAGAGGCCAGTCTTTTGCCTTTCAAACGTACCAGGCGCATTTGACGAATTCGCATACCGTTAAGCGCACAAACTAAAAATATCAAAGTAGTGACTTTTTCGGCGTTGCCCCGGACTGCGGGGAAAGCCGAAAATGGGAGAAATGATCTACGAGGAATGCCAAAATTTATGTTTTGCCACTTTATCTCAAACTTTATCCAGAATTCATCAAAGCTGACACGCGTTTTAAGAGCTTGAGGACGCTTGGTGCACACTGGAAGTTATAATTGTGTGATGTAATAAGAAAAGGCCTGGTAAATCATTCCTTATAGGCAACAGGCCGTTGTGTCGGTTAAAAGTGTAATATGTGTGACTAAAAATACGCGTTGCTATTCTACAGCAGTAAAGTCCACGTAGCGTGCTTCAACGTGCGTAATCGCACGTTTTCGGCATTACCCCAGCCAGCCATACTTTTATTTGCAGGCCCATAACTTTTCAACGTGCTGTTTAAATTTCAAATAGGCAGCACACTTATGCAAAGACATGCTGAAGATTACTTGACCGAATTGGCCAGACAAACGGTAGCATAATAAGTAAGAAATACAGCTTCAAAGGCGCATGTAGTGCAAGAGAAACGTACCCTGAAAACGCTCTTGGCGCCCTCACATCCGAAGTATTTCGAATGACGACTCGTAACAAACATGCGATAATTGTAGTCACTTAAGCTTCAGAGCATCACTGACAGGTGGCATCCATGTCGAACGGTTTTCGAAATATCTCGAATTTCGGCTTTGCCCCAACTCCGGCATTACCCCAACTTCCCCTACCATCTAACAAGCCAGTCTGCATGTTTTTAGCTTGCGAGCGACCTTGCATCGCATTCCAAAAGTTGATTTTAAGTCAACTTTTGATTTTCCTCGCTGCGAGGTCTGCGAGTTCTGCGAGTTTTGCGGGTTTTTCGTTGGAGTCGAATTTTGGTTCGTTGCGCTGGTATTGCGACTATATGCAAGTTTCTGAAGATGAACCGGCTTCACTACATTCATGAAGTTACCATAAAGGAACGGTCTAATCACTCTATGAATAAGTAGAGTCTGCAGCCAGTCTGCATGTTTGATCTTATGCCCGCAAACTCAAAACCCGCAAAACCCGCCCGCAAACTCAAAACCCGCAAACTCGCAACCCGCATGCGAGTTCCAGTGTGGGGCGGCCTTTACGAGTGCACTGAATCATTCATGGTTTTACAAACTAATGAAGAGGTGCAGCTGCCGACAACTCACGAAGCCAAGAAATTGAATATCAAGAGGTAGCAACAACCAAGATTACTAAAACATAGCTGAAGCGCTGAAGCAACATGTCCCTAAATTATCGTAGCAGTCATCGCGTCATGATCGAATGAGACGAATCGCCGACGGTCTTTGGATATCTGTGTAATGTGTAGGTAGACGAAACAAACATTTTTTTTTGTTAGAAAATTCAAAAGTTTTAGCAAAATCCTTGGCATCTTTTTTTTTAACTGAAACAACACGTGGGTAACAGTTGGTCACCGTCACAGAGGGAAGCTATTGTGCACTACAAGCTACAACAAATTAAACATGAGTGGACGTTGGAATGACGACAGTTTAAACTGTGATTTCAAGAGCATACACTGTAAGTTGGACCAATTCGAAAAAAGTTTACAATCCGTCACCGATAATATGTCTGAAGATATGGTCTATGAAAAGGTAAGAAAATTGAAAAAGCATCGCAATTCCTTACGGGTGGGTACAAAACTACCTATTTATGAAGGTTATACTTTACCATGACTGGGATCTCTGTCAATCATTTATTTATGCATGCTAGCCGGCGCATGTCAGACGAAGTTTCGATACACAATGGCCGTTTTCACGACGGAACTTTCGCAGAGGAACTTATTTAATACCTAAAAAGTACCTACCCTTTGAGGCCTTAACATCCCTCAAACTGAAATATTTTATGTTCAAAATAATTTCAGAAGTTTAAATCCGGGCATTTTTTGCCCTCAAATCACTTATTTATTTACAAACACAGCAATTTTTGGTTCTAGTAGCCCACCTTTCGACTATGAGGTATCAAATCAGCGTGGCAACTTTACTCCCTCGGGTATCTAATTCCGGAATTCTTAAAAACAAGGAAAGTATATATCGAGCTTTCTTTTATGCCTATTGAGTTATGTTTTAATGGTGATTAAAATATGGCAATTTTTTTAATTACATTTCACATAAGAAAAACACGCAAAACAATGAAACAAAAATAACTACGGTGGAAATAACCAATCAGCACCTCAGTAGGATATGACGTCATACAAGAATGGTGTTGAAGGCCGTTTGCAGTCCCGGCCGGTAGGTCACGTGACCGCCGGGAGCCTCGGGTCACGCGGCGGTCGGGAGTCGGACGCGGGACGTGGTCGCGGGTGGACGCGCGGGGCATCATGCTTTGCTTTGCTTGCTTTGTCAACTTAATATAACTTACGATCGCATACGTGTGAAACCCAAACACTGCTCAGTGCCCTTAGAAATTGAGTTTTGGAAAGCTCAAGTCCCTATAGCTCCTCAGGTCGGCAACAGTTGAAGCCTCATCTGGACTAGTGAAAAAAGCGAGGGTAAGGAACCTTGTGTTGCTTTTTCTTTTACCGTTATAATTATCTCAAACCATCACAATTTTGAGTTGCCACATTGTCTGGTTCACTACATTCGTGTAAAACTTGGTGAAGGCTGGTGGCTCAAAGAAAGGTGAAGATATTTCTTTAAGTGCCTAATCCGTGAAATATCCCGGCTTTACAAATCTACACTTTTCATTTTTTCCACGATACATTTTTTAAAATTGTTAAAATTTATTCAACATTTGTTAAAAGGGGCTTTGGTTTGGTGTAAACTAGATCATAAAGTTTACTATAGTTTTGTGCAAAACCTGGTGGCTGAAGAAAATAGTAATTTTGCTAAAATGATGTGCGGAAATTTGTTGCTTTCCAATTTCCAAATCAAATTACTCATACCTATATTTCATTCAAAATTAGGAGGCATTATTACTGTTTTTTCTTGCAACATGAACTGAGTTTGGGTGCAGTGCTCCGGAAACGTTGTGGAACTTTAAGCTAGCTAGAGCAGTTTCCATAAAAATTGTTTAGATAGTTGACATGGCATGTTGACAACGGTTTTGCTGTTTCTAAAAAAGTGAAAAATATTTTCCTGCATTAAACAGACAAGGCATGCTATTCTCATAAGCTATCGAATGTGTGTGCGTGTGTGTGTGTTTTTAAGCTGTCAATTGTAACTTCAGTTACTTCACTTTAGAACATATTGCCCAGAATGCGTCACTGATCATGAGCTGGTATATCATATCATATGTAGCAAATACATAAATGGGAATAGTGTGTCATGAATTTTTGTGCATGCTTCTGGATCATCTGTAATTACATCAAAGGCTCGGCTCAAGAGTGTCCTGCCGACCAGCTTATGCCCAACCCTTTCTGTCCGCAGAACGTCTTCCGTCGCCTGCGACTCCCGCACGCCGTTTGCGCCCCGGCCGTCCGTACCGGTCTTCGCGCTGCGAGCCGCGCTGCTGGAGTTCGCGGCGGCGTCGTGGAGCTCCCATCGGGACAACGTGTGATGCCCGCGTCGAGCTTATAAGCCGTGAGCTTCGATTGGCGGCTCACGCGGTCACCAGCTGTATGTACAGCCTCGGCCCCGACGACCCCGCTAATGGCCGAGACCGGCATACCCCCTGCATGGGTCCGCTGTCCGGCGCAGCGCTGGCCGCCCGCATGTTACGTTTGGCTGTATCGCTGCCCAGCGGGAGCGCGCTCCACGCTGCGGTAGAGGCACACGTTGCGACCCGACTGAGGACCGCAACCGGATGGTGAGACGTCGGCCTCTGCGCCCTGGCCGGGGTAGGCGTGACCGACGTCACAGTGGAGGAACACCCAAACAAGACCAGCCCACCGTCGGAGCAGCATGGAAATATCATGTTCTGCCTGGACGTCGGACCCGGCGGCCGCAGAGCACCTGCACACGTGCGGAGAGGGGCGCTGGAGGCGCGGCTTCTGACATCCCGCGGCGCGGCTGCTGGCAATACCTGACAACGGCGGCAATGGAGGCGGTTGGGAACAGCTGCAGCAATGGTGATGGCGGTGATGGCGACATGGCGGTTTGGGACTTCATCTCAGCGCGGCCGCCGCCCAGGCGCCGCTGCGCCCGGCTGCTCAGCCACCTACCGGATGGCGGGGTGGCCCTTACGGCCCTCACGCCCGTTCGGTCTGCGGCCACGTTCTGGGGTGGCCGTCGCGGGGTTAGCGGCGTTGGACTTCGTCCTTTATCCAGACTGCACCGTACCATCTGAACGGATGGATCTGCCAAGAAAGATGACATCCAAGGCGGCTATGAGGCGATCACAAAGCTTCAGCAAGAGCTTCTCCTTCATGGGGCCGGCCGGCCGTTAAGTCGCAACACCGGCTGCCGAGTGCCAACAGCTGCGTGCGCTGGCGCCGACGCGTTGTGGGCCGCGCTGCTGACGCTCAAGCTGCGATATCAACCATCTATGAATAAGTGGCAGCGGTGGCGGCTTGTCAGTTGTTAACGTGCCTTTGCAGACGTTGTGAATAGCCCGCGTTGGAATCGCATGGTTGGCAACACCACGCAAGCTAAAATGGGCTTCCTTGATGAACCTACTTTTTAAAGCATTGTAGCCTTTGTAATTTTTGATGTTTTGCTGTAGGTATTATTTTCTACATATATACTATATAGGCACTCACGTGCTTTGAATCGCGCAATGCAATTGAACCATGGTAAAGACAATGATAAATGAACTGAGAGCTGACATGCCCCATGCTTTGTGTGAGTGTGTGTGTGTGTGTGTGTTTTTTTTTTGGCGAGTCGATAAAAGTGGTTTTGGACACTGGATGAGTTTTTAGGGGTGTGGTGAGGGGGAATGTAATTCCACAGACCTTTTGTCAGATTCACCAATGCAGTAGGTCTGTGCGGTATTTAGATATCGGAGCATTCTTTGAAAGTCGTGAATAGGGCAACTGAGAACCTACCTATAGCCGTGATATCCCCTCACAAAAACTTCTTTTAAATAACCGGGGATAAGTACATAAGCAGAGTAATTGCTATTACGAACACCTAGGTATCACAATGCTGAGCGAATAGGAAAATCTATAGATGGAGAATTGTGCCGCGTTACGGGTGCTCGGGCGCAGCCAATCCAGCGTTACCCCAGCGGTGACCTTGACCCGCATCGTCTGTCTCGGCTCCAAAGCCAAACCGGCGTGGAATTGGGAGCGCTCGAGCACTCATGGTCCAGCGCAATTCTCCACCTGAATCCATTCCTGATACACATTTGCTTGCTCATAGTCATGTAACCCCGGTAAATTCATCTAACTTTCATATTGGTCGCTCCATAGACAGATGGCCACAGATATCAACTTAAAAGGCCATTGTTGCATTCATTTAGTGGAGATCATTAAAGAGCCGTGATAGGCCACAAGTCGCGTGACATCATACGTGTAACAACCAATGACGTCGGCCTGCAAAACCCAATGGAAGCGGCTAGCAGCGTGCAATAAAACAGGGCGCTGCTTTCTAAATGTCTGTCGTGCGCCATAAATGAATATATCTTTTGTAGTGTGGCAACTCAGTATCTTTTTTTAACTATTGTACTAGTATTTAATAATTTCATAATTTTATAATTGTGCTTACGCTTTATGTTGATGTTAGTGATAAATCCTTAGATAAAGTAAATCGATGTGATATTTAATAGAAAAATAGCAAACTAACGCGCCATTCATTCGAAAGCTGGTAAACCTACTAAAAAGAACTACTAAAATTCCTGAGGAACCAAAGGATTATATTGGTATCAAATAGATGCCTGCTATTCCGTCGTGAAAACGGCCAATACCTACCTTTTTTTAGCCTAGTGATGGTGCTGTAGAGTATCGATTAATAATATCAGTTCATAACTGCACCGAATAATTTGATGCGAATCTCGTCCGATAGAAATATTCTGGTGTGGAAATATATCAACAATTTGTTTTGTTAATAACTTAATCAACGTTATCATATTTTCATTGTTACCTACTCACCTTTAGAGAAGCTTGGAAGATCGCATCGACATGCTCCAAAGAGAACTGGATAATTTTGAACATGACGGCGCGTCAAGCAGGGGTCGTGAGCCTTATCGAAGCTCATCACCAGGAGAGCTCGCTAAGGGGAAAGGAAGGTCCAGATCGTTTCAGGTAAGCAGTGATAGAAGTGATTGCAATGAATGCAGTACCTAACAGTGATTTTTTTCAGTCATACTCTGGCAACTCAAGTACCTAAAACACAAGCACTAAAGTCACGCTGGGGTAGTAGGCAGAATCAGCCCATTTGCGTATTTCTGCTGTATATTTTAAAGGTTTCAGAGTAACTGCATGAGGCTCAAATTGCCTCGCCCTACGTCACTTCGACGAGTTACGTCGTCCACTCCAGAAATTTTGACTTTTTTCATTAGAGAGATGTGTTTATCTTGGAGAAGTAGAAAGTTCAGTCACCCTCGAAGTAGGATCGCCGTGTTCGGTGCACCTGTCTGCGTGTAGTGCGCTCAGTAGCGTGTTGTGTGCGGCGCTGGAGCTCTCTCAGTCTGCGCTGACGTGTGTCGCACCGGCAGAGTTTGGGCCGGGCGTCCCAGTCGCGTCGCGCCTCCCCCGGTGGCGGCTGCAAGTGCCGCTGTACCGCCTTCCTCGACACGCGAACCACGGTGAGTGGACGGTCCCCGGGGCAGTGGGTGTGGAGACGGTCCCCGGGCCACAGGGGGTGGGGACCGGACGGGTTACGGACCACGGTGAGTGGACGGTCCCTGGATCACAGGGAGTGGGGATCGGACGGGTTACGGACCATGGGAAGTGGTACTGACAGTCAAATGAATATCACCTCCGGGAATTTCTCGACTTTAACATCTATTCGGCCATCTCAAACCAATTATAATGTAGAGGTGGCACAGTCGCTTTGCCAGGACAAATCAACACTTTTCCTTTTCGCACGGTACCACTTTTCCTTCTCTGACCACCTGCTCCAGTCGGCGACCGCGCTGTGGTGTCACCGCGCTGTGCTGTGGTGTCCCCGCGCTGTGGTGTCCCCGCGCTGTGGTGTGGTGTCACCCCGCTGTGCGTGTCATCGTGCTGTTCTGTGCTCCAGTCGAACCCGGAGCGGGACAGTCTGATGCAGGAACTGCGCCAGGAGCTGCGGGACATCAACAACCAGAAACACGAGCTGCAGGAGAAAATGTTCGGCCTGGAGGAGGCGCAGCGGTTGAGCGACAATGACACCCAGGTGGGCACAGTGACCGCGAGTAAAGTAGACACCCAGATCCTCGCAGCGACCGACTGAATACACCCAGGTGGGCGCAACGACCGACTACACCCAGTGGCCGTATTCACAATCACGGGTTAAGGGTAGGGGTATAGAAGTAACGGTAATGGGCTATTTTTTGTGACCATATTCACAATCGAAGTTCACCCCTGATGGTCGCCCGGCGCCACGCAGACGGCACCACGCAGACCAAGTGCCGTCTACGCGGCGCCGGGCGACCATCAGGGGTAAACTTCGATTGTGAATACGGCCACAGGTGTGTGTTTGCCTCTAAAATGCGCTGTGTCTCACTTCATACAGCGTGGTGTCTGACTGTATGTCTGACTGTATGTCTGACCGTATGACTATATATCCGACTATATGTCTGACTGTATGTCCGACTGTATGTCTGACTGTATGTCTGACTGTATGTCTGGCTGTATGACTGTATGTCTGACTGTATGTCTGACTGTATGTCTGACTGTATGTCTGACTGTATGTCTGACTGTATGTCTGACTGTATGTCTGACTGTATGTCTGACTGTATGTCTGACTGTATGTCTGACTGTATGTCTGACTGTATGTCTGACTGTATGTCTGGCCGCAGATGCTGCAGAGCCAGCTGGAGTCGGACCGGGTCCGGTGTCTGACTGTATGTCTGACTGTATGTCTGAGACTGTATGTCTGACTGTATGTCTGACTGTATGTCTGGCCGCAGATGCTGCAGAGCCAGCTGGAGTCGGACCGGGTCCGGTGTCTGACTGTATGTCTGACTGTATGTCTGACTGTATGTCTGACTGTATGTCTGGCCGCAGATGCTGCAGAGCCAGCTGGAGTCGGACCGGGTCCGGTGTCTGACTGTATGTCTGACTGTATATCTGTATGTCTGACTGTATGTCTGACTGTATGTCTGACTGTAGGGGAGAGTGGGGAAAGATGCCCAGGGTTTTGCTATGTCATATATTATTCGAAAACGACGATAGGAAAGCAAAAACTTGGAGTTTCAACGGAAGCCGACATCATTTTTCTCCAAAAATATCACACTTTCGTGCCTGAAATATGATAACTTTGTTTGCTATTAAGCATTTTCCCGAAGAAGTGAAAGGGGGCATCTTACCCCACAGGGTGGGAAAGACGCCCCCTGGCGTTGGGGAAGATGCCCCCCTGCACTATAAGTGACATAAATGGGCACTGAATCACCTGAACGAATCAGTAGTCCCTTCGAGCCTGCAGTAGACACCAAACGTCATCGTAAGGGCCCTCAAAAGTAGTAAGGGGCTTCAGAGGCATCGTTAGGGCCATCATAGTCCAGCGCGGCCAAACAAGCCCTCCATGGTGGCGTTCGGAGACCACTGTGGGCCCTTAGTCTTCATGATGCTTGAGGGCCCTCGAGCCCATCGTGGGACCTCAGATGCCAGCGCGGCCCGTGGAGCCAACGACGTGGGAGCCCTCAAAGGATGTCGTGAGGGGCCCTGGAGCCAATAATGGGGCCCACAAAGGCCGTCGTGAGGGCTCTCATAGTCAGATGCCGCCCAAAAAGTCGCTGTGTGGGCCGAGAGACGCGGCATGGGAGCACCCGACCGTACTGGACTTTCAATAGTCCAGATCGGCTTTTGTCTCTCATCGCAAGTATGTAATAATGATTTGACGGGCGCTTGAAAGG